ATTCTAGAGACAAATTAGAACCATGCCCAACAGGCAACCAAACTGCACATGTGCTTTGATCCAGCAATACCACTACTAGGTTTGTGTCCCAAAGAGATCATAAAAAATGGAAAAGGACCCAGATGTGCAAAAAATTTTTATAGCAGCTCTTTTTGTGGTGGCAAAGAATTGGAAATTGAGGGGATGCCCATCAATTAGAAAATGGCTGAACAAGTTATGGTGTATGAATGTAATGCAATATTATTATGCCATAAGAAATGATGAGCAGGTGGATTTCAGAAAAACCTCGAAAGACTTACATGAACTGATGCTGAGTGAAGTGAGCAGAACCAGGAGAACATTGTACGGTAACAGCAACATTGTGTGATGATCAACTGTGATAGACTTAGCTCTTCTTAGCAATGCAATGATCTAAGATGATTCCAAAAGACTTGTGATGGAAAATACTATCCACATCCAGAGAAAACTATGGAGTCTGAATGCAGATTGAAGCATACTGTTTCACTTTTTTTTCTTTCTCATGATTTTTCCCTTTTGTCTGATTCTTGTTTCACAACATGACTAATGTGGACATATATTTAATATGATTGTATATATATAACCTATATCAGATTGCTTGCCATCTTGGGGAGGGGGGGAGAAAAAATTTGGAACTCAATATCTTATAAAAGTGAATGTTGAAAACTATCTTTACATGTAATTGGAAAAAATGAAATACTACTAATGGGAAAAAAAGATCTTTTTTTATCTGATCAAAATCTTTTGTCTTCCTATCTCTCTCTATGCCTCACTATTCCTAAATCTATTCTTTATCTCCATAATCTCAGATCTTCACAACGTTCTTCAGTCTTTCCAATAGGCATTATTATTTCAGGCCATCATCCTTATTTGGTTGTACTTTCCCTTCTTCCCAGTCTTGACCCCTTGGTTAACCACTTCATCTTCACCCTGCCTTCAACTCTTCAATCTCCTCTTCCCTTTTCTCCAACCCTGTATTATTCCCTCCCTCCCATCAGCTCCCTTCACTTCTGCTCATATGTTGTTAAATGGAAATGAAAGAAAGTGTAAAACCTTGTGACTACACCACAGATCTGTGTTAGCTAATCTCAACTACAGCAAGCCATTCCTATTTACTCTTTATTGTTTGAATTTGATGTTGAATATTTTGTTATTTACATTGTTTTAACCCCTTTGTCTGTTGCTATCAATTGTTTATTAAAGGAATCTAGAATATTTAGTATGCTTTTGGTTTTTGGATTTCTTTCTGCATATTTCTTTTTTGTTGTTTTTAATTGAGCAATATTTCTTTCATGTTTTTTATTGCACATACCAGCTTGACATTGATGAAGTATTCAGATACCTTTCTTCAGATCTTCAGTAATCCTCTCAAGTCACTTTGGCCATGGTGGTTTTTTATGTCTTTCCTTAGAGTCTACCTTTCTTCCCATGGTTCTTACCATATTAACTACTGTCTGCTATACTTTTTTGTGCAGGTCCTGGATTGTTTTCACACTTTTTATCAAATACCATGAGAGACTGGATTTGTTCATTCTTAGTAAAGACCAGCTTTTTTATTACTTTGTTTTAGTATGATTGATCTGTTAGTTAAAATCATGCCATAAAACTCAAAAAGGTTTTTAATTAAATAATGCCCATGTCCTTTTAGAATCATTTGAAATACTAGGTCTGTTTTTGTTTTCCATTTAGTTATTGGATATAATTTCTAGAATTTATATGAAAATAAAGATTTTCAGTGACTTCAAGGTCTTTATTTTTTTTTCCCCTTTGGGCTTTTAATAACTTTTTTTCATCTAACTTAGGCTTAGGAATGAAGTTAGTCTTTTTTTCTTTTTGTCCTACACCAGTTGAAACTATGTTGTTGTGTTCCTTGGAGTTGAAGATATTGTTAAAGCTTTGCCTGTGAAGGATGCAATCTATTACTGATTGTGGCTTGACATAATATTGGTGCATTATAAAAGAAAACGTTCCTATTATCAGTTCATTACATACCCATTCAGGCACCAATTGCACTAATATGTTTCTAACATGTGAACTATTGGTATTTATGATTTGTTCTAAGATATCTTTGGGGCAAATTGGTAGTATAGTGGATAGAATGCTGGGACTGGAGTCAGGAAGACTCATCTTTGTGAGTTCAAATCTGTCCTCAGACACTTACCAACTATGCAACCCTGGGCAAGTCACTTAACCCTTTTGGCCTTTAACTTCCTATTGTACTGTTTAACAGCAGCTCTTGAGTACAAAGCAGATGGTAAAAGGGTTGAGGTTGGAAAAGAAATAAGTGAAAATAGGACTAAGGGGAAAGGATTAATGATTAAAGTACAAAATTAAAATCCTCTAGTTTGCTCAAGATTAGGCAAGGAAGAAATAATCTTAAAGTACTATGTAAATGCTAGGGAATATATGGAATGGAGGGAATGGAGATAATGAAAAAAGTGAAGAATGTACTTAAGAGGAGTGAAAGGGAGAAATGAAATGATAGAAGGTTATGGTTGGATAGAGTTCTTGATCATGAAAGAGAACCCCTTTTTATGATAGTGAGATCAAGTGTATAATTCTTGTGAATGTATTGGTATTGGTAGTTGAAAAGGTGATGAATTAGGAGTGTATGTTATATACGGATTTATTGAAGTACTGAACACTTTTAGAAAGGATTGAGAATGAATTTAGGGGCTTGTCAATAACAACCAATAAACTCTGGAAAGGGTGATAGATATAGGTAGAGTGAACCTCACAGAAGGAAAGATTATTGAATGATGAGTCTGTGAGATGAGAAGTATGCCTACTCCTCTTCCTAGTTCAGAGCCTTATAACACATGAAGGAATGTGCATTTAATCCTAGAAGGGATGATACAGGGTGAAGTGTTTTGATGGGAGCCAGGTCCCCATGGGTACCACAAGATTAAAAGAAAATGAGACGGAAAGACTAAGACAAGGGTAAGTTTCTTAGCAATAGAAGCAAGGTTCCAGAGAAGGGCTGAGAAGAGATGGATTGGAGCATAGGAAGGAAATGCATAAGGTCAGTGGGTGTGAGAAAAGTTAAATGTGTGACCAATTTCAGTAAGTCACACAGTTAGGATTCAAACCCTTGTCCTCTTGACTCTAAATCTGGTGTTTTTTTCACTGCACCACACTTTTTCACTAGAAGCTATGGCTGTTATTTGCTCTATTTTGCTTCCCAATCCACAACTACAATTAAGTTTGTTTCAATAAGCAACATGGTAACAAAAATTCAGAAAACAAAAGAAGGGTAAGGTCCTAGATTTCCTCCCTATTTTTGCTATAGCTCATGGTTTTGGCTTTGATTGTGTTTTTCTCTTTGAAAATCTCAGTCTACAAAATCTTACTTCTATGTTCCAATCTTCCTATTCTAGAGAATTTTGAGATATAATCTTTCTAGTAGGTCTTATTTTCTTATAAAGAAAAAGACCATAGGGACAGTGAGGTGGCGCAGTAGATAGAGCACTGGCCCTGGCGTCAGGAGGACCTGAGTTCAAATGTGGTCTCAGACCAGACACTTGATACTTACTAGCTGTGTGACCCTGGGCAAGTCACTTAACCCCAATTGCCTCATATTGAAGAAGAAGAAGAAGACCATAGAACTGAACAAAATTTAAAACTAGTTCTTTGAAAAGGCCAGCAAAAATAAGAAATATTTAGCCAAATTGATTAAAAAGAGGAAGGAAAATCAAATTAATAAATAAAAATGAAAAAAATTACAAAAATAGAGAAGAAATAAAGAATGATCAGAACCTGTTATACAGTCATATGCAAGCAAAATTGAGAATTTAAAGGAAATATGCAAAAATATGAAATACCAAAATTATCAGAGTATCATAAAGGGATCTTAATACAATTTCAAAAAAGAACATTGAGCTGACTTTAAAGAAACTACCAAAAGGTAAAGAAAACCCTAGTCCAGATGGATTTTTAAGAGAATGCTATCCAACTTTAAAAAAATTTTTAAATACCTCTACTACACAAATTGGTCTCAAAAATTGAGAAAGAAAAAATCTCTACAAACTGCCATTATTAGAAAAAGAAAGTGAAACTTTTAAGGTTTAAACCCATTCTGTATGTAAAAATTTATTAACATGTTAATGTTTGTTTTTACAGACCAAAATATGCACTGTTGGATGAATGTACTAGTGCAGTCAGCATTGATGTTGAAGGGAAGATATTTCAGGCTGCAAAAGGTGCTGGAATATCCTTGTTGTCAATTACACACAGGCCTTCTCTTTGGTAAGTTCTTACAAAGGTTCCAAATTTGATATCTTTAATTATTCATTTTATTTTTAAATTGTTGATTAATCAAACATCTAAAGAGTTGTGTTGCTACAGTGTTGTACACTAGAGGCCAGGGATTATAATTAAACCTTTCTATTACTTAATTTTCAAGTTTCTGTTAATATGTGCACTGACAAAATTCAAAATTCACATCACATCATAATTTTGAACAGTTTTTTGAGATACTTATGTGTTGCTCTTGAAATCGCTGTATGTGTGTTCTAAAAATAAAATATGATAAAATTTTGAGATGCTATACATACAATTGGAAAGAAATATAACATATGATGTACTTTTTTAAGAAGGGATACATGACATGCTAATTCCCTAATCTTTAGAAAGGAAAAAAAAATCTGTTTTAGTATTATCTCCCAAATTTCTAGGGCAATATTCAAAAGAAATAGCTGATGCTCCTCCTTCCCCCCAAAAAAATGTAATTGAAAGAAAAGAAAGAAAAAGAAACTTTTTAAAGAAGGTTAACTACAACATTCTAGAATTTTAAGAATTTTATTAGAATTTTCCTTTTTTATATAATGATAGTATCCTCATAATTCTTTCACTTGTTTCTATTCCTTTATCATGAAGTATGATTTGATAATAACAAGCTTAAAATGTACTCCATGGATAAAGCCTAGAAAACACTTTACTTAATATTTATATGCTGAATATCATAATTTCTCTGCTTGACCATTCCAGTTCATAATTCAAAAATTTTTATTTCCTTATACAATACTAGTAACTAAGATTGTTCTAACTTGCCAGAGTCCCCTGTTTTCCTGGAATATTGCACCTCTCATCACAATTTTAGCTTCATTGTACAATGACAGTTGATTGAATTTCATTCCCCAGACATTCAGCCAATACAATCCCAAAATTGTACCACATTGATAGGATCTACTTGAGTTTACCCTTGAAGACCTCCTAAGGCCTAGGGGCCTAGACTAGGCCCTTGTGGGAAAAGTATGTTTGCTTTTGTAAAGTGTTGGAAATACAGTGGACTTCAGTTCAAGTCAACTACAAAAACGCTAGCATTTCAGTATGGACTCTCTTAAACTCCCCTGGGGAAGATTATATATATATATATACATATATATATATATATATATATATATTTAGCTTATATTCCTACCTTTAGTCTATTTCCTGTTCAATATATCTTCACACATTACTCCATGTCTTAAAAATCTTTACTACATTCAGTGTGGTGATACATGGATATCTGTTAGGGGACACTGAGCTTTGCAGATGGCTTGAGCTTGGGAGTTCTGAGCTGTAGTAAAGCTAAAGCCAGTCAGGTATCTGCTCTAAGTCTGGCGTCAATATGGTGAGCCTTCAAGACTGGGGAGTCATCATAAAACCCAAGAAGGGGCAAAATGAGCTGGGTTAGAAAAGGAGGAGTTCTTGTGCCAGTTAGCAGTGGGATTGGACCCATGTGTGGCCCCTGCACTTACAGTTTAGGTGAAATAAGGAGACTTAAGTTCAAAATTAATTCAATACGTCCTCACTATTTGAAAACCTTCAATGGCTCCAGATTGCCTACTGTGGATCTAGAGCTACTTAATTTTGAGAATCATTCCCATTTTGTTCACATATATATGTCTATATTCTCCCCTTTAGTGCTTGCAATGCAAATAACCCAAAATAGGACATGCCTTGTTGTGCAACCTATTCTGAGATGCAGCCTAGCCTCCCACATATACAGAAACCCCTAACCTTAAAACTGGGTAAAAGGTTAAGCACCAGATCAGCCTCAAGTCCCAGCAATGGGGACCTTGACCAATCAACTTTTGCCCCATTGCCTACTCTGTTCCTTATTCTGAGAATCATACATATATGTATATGTATTCATTCAGGGAATTGTTGCCTTTTTGGGTGAGACTTTCCTGTTGGTGAACTCACAATAGTTGGTCCAAAGAATATTTCTCAACCAATCTGTTCCCAACATCAACACTACTTAATAATATTAAACCACTGATCTTGGCATTAAGGGTATTCTACAATCTGGCTCCAACCTACCTTTCCAAAAATGTCTAATAGTACTCCTTTTTTAAATGTTCTATATTACGGGCAGACTGGAGTAGTCGTTGTTACCCAGTCATACTTTGCCTTCTCATACCCCCACGCCTTTATTCAATCCATATCTGAAATGGATTCGTCTCCCCTTTACACCCCATCTCCATCTATTTAAGTACCTCCCCTAGGCAGCTAGGTGATGCAGTGAATAGAGTCGGAATAGAGCAGAAGCTGGTGTCAGGAAGGCCTGAGCTAAAATCTGACCTCAGACATCCCCCTAGCAGTGTGAGCAAGTCACTTAACCTCTCTCAATTTTCTCAACTACAAAATAAGAATAATAATAGCACCTGCCTCCAGGTTTGTTGTGAGGATTAAATGAAATGTTTGTAAAGTGCTTAACACAATGTCTGTCACCTAGTAGTTTATTCCCTTCTCCTCTTTTTGCATATCTTCCTCATTCCTCTCTTTCCTCCTTCCCTCCCATTAAAGGATAATAGTATTTGGATTTATAAGAGACTATAGAGGTCATCTTCTCCTACCAAAAGTTTGATATGAGACTGAGAGATATTAAGTGACTTGCCTTAAATCACAAAGGTGATGTAATGGAGTAAGAATTTGAACGCATATCCTGATTCTAAATCTAGTACTCTTATAAACTCCTCGTGAGTAAGATCTATTTTATATGTGTGTGTACTTACATGCATATATATCCATATATTTATATATACCTATATATAAGATATAGGTATATATATCTTTGTATTTTCAGTATCTAGCACAGAGCCTTGCATACAATAGTAGTTTAATAAGTATTTGTTGCTGAATGGAAGAATGAAACTTTTAGCCAATTATGCCTTTACTCTGGAATTCTGAGGTCCTCTGAACTTGGGATGAATAATGACCAAGGCAATAATGACCAATTTATGTTCTTCCTGCCTAGTATTGAACTATATTTCCAGAGCTGATCCTAAATCAAATTGATTTATGTTAAATGGAAAAGGATGGGACTTGTCTCTCATGTTCAATTAAATTCTTTGAGTGTTATGCTATGAAATAATTTCTTATCCTACTGTTTTGGAATCTGAATAACATGTTGCCTTTTAGGCATGTTAGTTCTGACATTTTAAAATAAACTGTGTTAGACATGAGAATGAACCCCAAAAACTGAAATAGTTTTAGAAAGAAATTTATTAGGTCAGTTTATTAGTAGAGGAGGAAAATCAGAAGAAGGTTCCCTTCCTCTGGCTCTGAGAGGTTTACATTATATAGGGTTTCAGAGTACCAGTACAGAGCAAATTATATTGCATTTTTTATGTATTAGATGAGTAATCATTGATTGCATGGTAAAAATCAATGCTAATATCTGTGAATGTCAAAGCTGCAAAAGTTTATTAAATTATTAGATTCCTGGATAAAATTATAGCTTTTCATTGGCCACTTTCCTGTGCTTTTTTTCTTTGTGATGGAAGTATATTGCAGGTTAACTCCAATAAACTTTAGTAAGAGCAGTATTTTCTTTCTACTGATGAACGTATGCCCTAAGATGTTTTACACTGAGAGAACATACTTCTGAAACTCTGGACAAGAGACACCTACTCATATTTCTCTTCCTGTTTAGAAATCAATTCAAGCTGTAGGAACAGAGTGGTGGACCCAACCTAAATAGGAAATTAAAGGCAAAAGCTTGGTGAAGATTGGAATATGTCATTTTAAAGAGTATTCTAATTGCTATAGTGCCATAATAATGCTCCTCAGTGTAGGATACTAATGTTCATCTAGGTAAACACAGAAGTTGAAAGTTCAATAGATAAAATACTTAAAAGGAGTCTATACATTCTTCTTTTGTTCTTTCATTTCTATCTCATTTAATTTTTTATTTTTTCTCATTTCTTTTGTTTTCTTTCCAGTTTTTTATAGGGATATTTCTCTTTCTCTTTTAAAATATCTTCTGAATATCTTATTATTACAGGCAAAGTCAATGAGCTCTTAGACTTTGTGAACACAACTTGGCAACACTGTTGTAATGCATGCATTATGTTAACTTAGTGGCTGCTGGGTGGTGCAGTGGGTACTGTGCTAGGCCTGGAGTCAGGAAGACACGAGTTTAAATTCGGCATCAGACATAACTATGTGTGATCCCGGGCAAGTTACTCCGCCTCATCTGTGAAATGGAGATTGTAATAGCATCTATCTTCTAGGGTGATGAGGATAAAATGAAATATTTGAAAAGCACTTTGCATACAGATAAAGCATTATATAAACACTAGCTGTTATTATTTCCTTAAGCACAAAGGGGGAAAAAGCAAACAAGTTTCGTTTGTTTTTTCAAATAGCTAAATACCCAGAAGTTACGGAAAAGATTTCTACATCACAACAACAACAACCAAAAAAAACCCCTATTATTAAGCACATGCATTTGCCGGGCCTTCGTTCAGAAAGCATTTACTATTATTTCAGATAGAATTATAACAAACTTGCAGAAGATTAGAAGCTGCATATTAAATTTAGTTGAGGGCTACTCAGAGCATGAACAACAGTTATAGTTGATTGACGGATGGTCAAGGGGGGAAGCAGAAAAAATATAAAAAGCAGATATAAAAACTAATAAAATACGGGAGGATTATTTAATGTAAAGGCACATTATTAGTGTAACAAAAAGAAGACTAAACATGAAGTCAGAAAACTTGGATTTGACCTAACTGGGCACTTACTATGTCAGCTTGTGCAAGTTAATTCATCTCTGAGCTTAAATTTCTTCATTTGTAACATAGGAAAAGCAGTAATGATGATGATGATGATACTTGAATTAATTGATAAAATTATTTTAAGGATCAAATAAGAAAATTACGGCAAAGTTATGCCAAAATTATGGTAATTTGTAAATAACAGTTACTAGTATTTCAGTAATTGGCATTCCTCATGATAGCCCTAAATCCTCAAAATATAGGACATGATAGGCAGCATAGCATACTAGATAGAAAGTCAACCTAGTATTCAGGAAGACCTGGGTGCAAGTCTTACTTCTGACACGTGCTAGTTGGATGAACAGGAAGTTAGTTAACCTCTGTGGTCCCTGGCAACTCTCTATACAAGAAATGACAAAATTACAGATGAGTTACAGGTCCAGGATATTTCCGTACCTGTTGTTTTCTATACTCATGAAATCACAAGGGGGAGTTGAAAATACTTTTTTAAAAAAGTTCATAAAGTATATAGTATCTTTTAAAAACATTTCTATAAAAATGCTTAATTAAAAGAATCTGACACTTAAAGAGTGTTTTTGGAACCTCACACTCCCTCAGAATACTAACTACACCAGGGGTGGAGACCCTGCAGCCTTGAGGCCACATGTGGCTTTCTAGGTCTTTGGGTTTTATTTAGCCTTTTGACTGAGTCCTAGTTTTGCAGAACAAATCCTTTTACCATAGGTCCTTATTTTATTCCTCTCTATATAACCTCTTAGGTTTGTATAAATCTAAGGTTATTTCAGAACATGATCAAATGTATTAGCATGACTTGTTTTACATTCCATAATAAATCAAATAGGATAGAAACAGTAAGTATTTTAAAGAGACAAGAATAAAGATTTTAAATTACCTTAGTGATTACTCTCTTCCTATATCCCTTCTGTTTACACAATAGGCATCTTACTTAAAGATCTATCTTAGCATATAATTCTGCAGTCATTTGCTAATGGGATTAATTTAATTTGCTTATGCAGGAAATACCATACTCATTTATTACAGTTTGATGGAGAAGGAGGTTGGCGCTTTGAACAACTGGATACAGCTATTCGTTTATCACTGAGTGAAGAAAAACAAAAACTGGAATCCCAACTAGCTGGCATTCCCAAGATGCAGCAGAGACTCAATGAACTATGCAAAATTTTGGGAGAAGATTCAGTGCTGAAAACAATAAAAAAAGAAGATGAAACATCTTAATTTGTTCTGATGTGTTTTGGAAATTTTTGTCATTGCTGTTGAAGATGTTAATGAGACACTATTATAATGCATGCATTATGCTAACTTAAGCACAGAGGGAAAAATCAGCCAAAAATGATTTATGAGATTTATGCATGAAGGCAGAATATGTTTTGAACTTTGAGAAGAAAATAAACAACGGAATTTTGGAAAGAGTAATCACTATGGCTTATTCTAATTCCTAATGAAAGTCCAATTCATCAGGAAAAGGAGATTTAATCAATCTGAGTGAATATAGGCAAGATACCAGACTCAGTCTGCTTAATGTGCCTACTGTATTAAATGAAATTTATTGCAGGCATGAAACAACATAAGGTTTGAACTGTGTGTATACATGCAGAAGACAAAAAGTATATATAGGATTTTAGTCCACTTATATTTCATTGTAAGTTTTATGTTATTCATTATTCCTAATGGCTGCTGAATTTCAACAAAAAGAAAGCAGTTTATTATTAGAAATGGTTAAAAACTGCCACCTGAAAATCAAAAACATTGTGAAAGTAATTTTAGACTTTAAACAACTTGATGCAGGCATGTAATATCAATTCATTTTAGGGAGAATTTCACATCTGTTAAGAGCCCCATAATTTCAAATAGTGAATGGACAAAACAAAAAAGGACAATCCAAAAAAAGTTTGCTTCAACTTATAATTTTCTTTGTAGTTGTACGTAACCATAGTCTAGAAATGCAAAATTTGTGAGTCTCTCTAATGGAAGAGGCACCAAATTACTTTTTATACTATAACAAAAATAGACATCACAAAAATATTAGAATGGAAATAAACAGAAAATCAGCTGTCCCCAAACCAAATGGTTATGAAATTAAAGATTGGTTGATGTGTTGAGAAGGAAACTGGTTTTATAATTTTAGTGTTAATACAATTATTTTTGGCTAAGTAACAATGATAAAATAAAAAATGGAGGTGACATTAGAATTTGTTCAGTGAGGGACAAGGAAAGACAGTACTTATCCTCATCTTCACCTCCTGGTTTCCTTCAAATCTGATAAAATTCCTTCAACAACAAGCCTGTTTGTACACAATTGTTTGCATGTTGTCTTCCACATTGGACTATGAGATCTTTGAGATTAGGAATTGTTTTGTTCCTTTCTTTGTATCCCCAAAACTTAGCACAGTCACTGGCACATAGTCAGCACCTAAATACTTGCTGACTATTACATCAAAGTAAAAAATGGTCTTCTAGAACCTTTGTAAGTAGGAGTAATGCAATGAACTTAAAATTTTTTTATCACAGTGATCCAGGTACTATACAGAATATCTAGGTGACATGAGTTAAAATAATGCTAGCTAACATTATAGTGTAGTGCATTGTAAGTTTTGCAAAGCACATTCCATATATGTCTGCTCCAGATATTGATGTAAGTAAAAGTTTCAATTATTTTTTCTTCCTATGGGCCCAGTGATACTCCACAAATGAAAGAACAATACTTGAGGTTTCTGGTGCTTGTGGCACCATGTTGACAGACCAGAAAAAAATTGAAACAATCTAAACTTTTTGCTCCTTCAGGTTTCATTGACATATATAGGTATTAACATCATCTTTGCCTTCTTAGTTGTTAAATTTGAAGTCAAGTTTCTTGAACAAAAGAGGAAGTTATTGGAAAAACAAAGAAATAAAAAGGCTTCATTTGGACTATGATGCCTAATTGTTATGTTTTCATTATCTTCTGATTAAAAAAAAATCCAATAGTTTCTAAGCCCTTTGTGTGACATAAAACATATAGATTGTACGTATGACTTAGTGTGTATTTAGTGTTTAGCATCAGGACCATTCTAGGGGGATAAATACTAGACCTATGGCATAGGGAACTCCTAGAGAAGGAAGTTTTCTGTGCCAATGGAAGTCAGTAGCTTCCCTGCAGCTTAACATTTTAGACAGTTGCCTAGAGCACTGAGAGGTTAAGCGATTTGCCCAGTGTCACACAACCAGAATATTTCAGACATGGGACTTGAACCCAGATTTTCTTGACTCTTCATTATGCCATACTGTCTCTCAATTCACGTATATGGTATTCATATAATAAAGTGAAACCCATTGCAATATTTGCCACATATAAGATTGGATGAGATTCAAATCATAGAATTTTTGTGGTGCACTTAAAAATCATTGTTGCCAATTGAAAGTCACCTACATTAATCATTTATATTTTTAGGTCCTATGAGAAACATTCTTTGTACCCTATTATTTTTAAGTTGTTTCCTAATAGGGAATATATTATTAAAACTTTTATTTTCTAATAACATTCAAGCTGTTTCCATAATGATCCAGTGTGATATATTATTCATATCATATTCAATGGAAAATGAAAAAAAGACCAAGAAACCAAGCAGTCATCTTTGGGTAGATCAGGGAAGACATGCAGAGAAGGGAAAACTGCATGTAAACATTTTAATGCTCAAAGTACTCCCTGCACATTACCCAAATGTCTCTTCTTCAAAGAAAACTTCCATAATGAAATATAAACCTAGTTTTTTAAAAATGATTTAAAAATTTTTTCTAACTTGGAAAGTAAACTACATTCTACCAAAAAATTACACTATATTCCTACAACATTTAGAAATTATGCAAAGAATGATAATGAAACAATGTGTCCTTTGTAAAGAATAACACATCAAATCATTCTGGCTTAATGTCATAATATGTCTTAAAAATTAAGTGAGAAAAAGAAAAATAGGAAAATTAAATGAGGTCACACTTACCTGTTTATGGAATGCTTTCCTTTTATACAGATTACTTCTAGTGTCAAAGTATAACCTTGCCAATTAAGGTACAATTGAATAAAAACTTTTTATTGGAATCATTAGTTCCATGTAAAATGTCATAGTTAACAACAAGATTAGCATTATATACATAATAAAAAATGAAATCTGGTTGTAATATCTTCCTGATTCATTAACCCAGGAAAATCAGTCATTAATTTCTTGAATTAGAAACTGGCCTTGTGTGAGTGAAAATTAATGAGAGATAAATTCTACTTAATGAAATCAAAAATTGTGTTGTTAAATTAGATGCCAATTCTGTGTGAATGCCTTAGAATGTATTTGCTGGGATGTAGTGGGGACGGAGCCAACATGGTGGAGTAAAAGCAATGACTTGCTTGAGCTCTCCCCCAGACCCCTCCAAATACCTGTAAAAAATGGCTCTAAACAAATTCTAGAGCAGCAGAACCCACAAAAAGACAGAGTGAAACAAATTTCTAGCCCAAGACAACCTGGATGATTAATTGGAAAGGTGTGGGCTGGGAGAGGAGCACAGTTCAGCGTGGGTGCACAGGCAAAGACCAGGCCTCAACGAACCTGGAGCAGGCCTCAGAGGACTGAATTGAGGACAACTGTGGTGGTTTCCAGACTTCTCAACCCACAAACACCAAAGACAGCTTAGAAGGTCAGGATGAAAGGTCTGTCAGACCTGGATGGGACAGAAGCTTGGTCAAGCCCCAGTCTTAGCGCCGCCCCAGGGCAGTCACTACTTCTGGAGCTCTCAACCCACAGGCAGAGGGGGGATGGAGTGGTTTCAGAGGGGGATTGCAGGGATCTCTTTGCTAGTGCTGAGGTAGGAATCTCTTGCTTTGCTCATGCTTGGATCTGGGTCACAGTCCTGGGTGACAGTCCTGAGTTGAGGAAAAGCAATGGCGTGGTGCAGCTTGTTGTGGTGGTGGAGAAGAAATCCTCCTCACAGTTCCAAGACAGAAAAGAGTGCTTGTGGTCACTCATAGACCAGAGCCCAGGCCAGGAAAGGAGCAAACACCTTGCCCTTGATCATACCACCTTGGAAGAACTGACACTGTTCAGGTCCCTAGAAGTATCTCTGAAAACAGCTGCACAAAACCCTCAAAGCATGGGACAGTACATTCTCCACACTGGAAGCAGACCCTTACCTTAACAAAGAGTTTAAAACTCACATAATTGGCTGGGAAAAAGAGCAAACACTGCAAAAAAAAGTCAGACCATAGACTCTTTCTTTGGTGACAAAGAAGATCAAAACATACAACCAGAAGAAGACAACAAAGTCAAAGCTCCTACATCCAAAGCCTTCAAGAAAAATATGAATCAGTCCCAGGCCATAGAAGAGCTCAAAAAGGATTTTGAGAAGCAAGTAAGAGAGGGCAGCTAGGTGGCACAGTGGATAGAGCTCTGGCTTTGGAGTCAGGAGGACTTGAGTTCAAATCTGACCTCAAACACTTGACATTTACTAGCTGTGTGACCCTGGGCAAGTCACTTAACCCCGATTGCCTCACCAAAAAGCAAGGAAAAAAGAGAGAGAGAGAGAAGCAAGTAAGAGAAGTAGAGGAAAAACTGGGAAGAGAAATGAGAGCGATGCAAAAAAATCATAAAAAACAAATCAACAGCTTACCAAAAGAGACCCAAAAAATATACTGAAGAAAATAACACCTTAAAAAATAGACTAATCCAGGCAGGTAGGTGGCGCAGTGGATAGAGCACCAGCCTTGAAGTCAGGAGGACCTGACTTCAAATCCGGCCTCAGACCAAACACTTGACACTTACTAGCTGTGTGACCCTAGGCAAGTCACTTAACCCCAATTGCCTTAAAAAAAATAGACTAACCCAAATGGCAAAAGAGGTTATAGAAGGTCAGCAGGTTTCTCAGCCATTTGAAGACTGTACGCGCACACATACACACACACAGACTTGCTTTACAAAATCATCCTTTGATATGGCTCTTTCAATTAGTGAATGCAATTGAATACCTGAAAGCAAGGATATATAAAATGTTGTTGCTCTTCTGGTAAGATGGTGACATGGCACTTCTGGTAGAACCTAGTTCTATCACAAACTCTCCAGCAAAGATCTAAAAGGGCAAGTTATATAACAAATGATTAAGGAAATTTTGAGAAGGTAATTGAGAAGTCAATATATTACTATATATGCTCACTATATGCCAGGCACTGTGCCCTTTAGAATTATCTCATTTGATCTTCACAACAATCCTAAGAAGTAGGTGATTTTTACAGTTGACAAAACTGAGGTAAACAGAGGTTAAGTGACTTGCCCAAGGTTACACAGCTAATAAATGTCTAAAGCAGGATTTGAACTCAGGTCTTCCTGAATCCAGGCAC